AGTCTGAGGAACTGGAAGTTAGGGTTTTGCCATGTACCTACAGGGGACCTACGTCAACCAACACCACACAAAGCGGATGTGTTTCTCCAGGTTCCTGGTGGGCTCTGTGTCGCACGTGTGCTTATTTGAGCACAGAACTCACACCCAAATTCCTATTTCTAAATCGTCAGTGTTTACCCAGTATGAGTTTCAGTTCTATCCTCCATCAATAAGAAACGGTGATAGCTTCCAAGGTTTAGGGGAATAAATAACAGTCCGAGCCTTCTCCCACCTGCTAGGTTGGAAGGAAGTTCTCCACATACAGTAAGCATTATCACAGGTCTGCTCGAGCCCCACCCGCCTTCAGGGACCAGGTCTCCAAGCCTAAGTGCCTCCTTCTCCATTATGCGCCTCCATTAGATGCTCATAATGCGAGAGACATCACTTTCAGGAGAAGGCATTGCACTTACACCCCACCTTTCAACTCAGCATTTCCAAATGCTTTAAAAATCATTATTTCTTTATTATTTATTTGTGGAGTCCCAGCGCTCGGAAGTGCAGTCAAAGCCACAGAGCGATGGTCTTTAGTTACACAGACTTAAACCTATCCTCAAGGTTCCCCCTTTGGTGTGCCAGGAAAAACCTGAAGTGGACGTGTGCGTGGGTGGGTATGGAGAGAAAAGGGAACAGATACTTACGCCCAAGATGTGCTGTGGCTTACACACCTGGAAAACTTCAGAAATGGCTCGCTTGTTAGCGCTGTCCCAATAAACTACAACCTAACAAAGGAGAAAGCCGGAAAGCAAGCTGAGCTTTTAGATGCTAAAGCTCAGAAAATGGAAGTGAATTTTCCTAACCAAGGTCACTCATGCACAAGAAGGCATTTAGGAAGATTATTAAGCAATGCAGGAAGTCGAAACCAGCCGTACCCTGCTTATTGCTCCCTGGTCATTCTTTCCTGGGTCAGTTCTGCTTGGCACTGAATTTAAGTCTTTTATTGAGCTGAAAGGTCTTAGAGAAACCACCACTGCTGGTCCATCCTATTTTATTTTCCCAAGCTTTTCTTCACTGGATACTGCATCTGCTTTGTTTGAAACAACTCTATTGTTTTCTTATACTTTGACGGTATAAGAATGTATTGTCTATCCCTTTAGTGCTTGAACATGGTCCAACACCCATAACACAGTAGGCTATCAATAAATGTTGGGGGACGTATGACTAATAAATTTTCATAGGACTCCGAAAGCAGTCTAAAGTGAACTGGACACATCTTGTTCACTCCATGAAGTCATATGACACATCACTGCCAAGGCATGGCCATTACAGATGCTAATTAAAAACCTAACAAAATAATGGATTAGAGCTGGCTTTAAAACAAAAATAACCAAAGTGTATGTCTCATCCTAGCTTGACTACCATTGGATTTAACCAGGAAAGCTTTCCTGGAAGAAGTGTAAGTCTGAGAACTTTGGGGACTGTAAGAGGGGGTGTTCTGATTGGGGCTGTGACCAAAAAGAAACATCCAGTTAACAATTAAACTTTAGGAGAACAGGGTCGGCAAATAAGTCAGGGAAGCACTTCAGTGGGAAGGAGAGATGTCCAAAGTAGGCAAAAGGCAAAGACCACGGGGCACAGAGAGCTCCTTTGAGATGTGAAAGCCATATTGTGAGCAACACGGTTGGGATTGTAGCCAAAGCAGAAGTTCAGAAAACAGTTAACATAGCGCAGCTGAGGTGAGGAGCATGTTTCTTCTGCCCTGTTTTGGTACAAACCCCTCCCTCTGTAGTTCTGCCTTGTCCCCGGAGCTGGGGGTTCAAAGGGGGCTCAGAAGCTATCAATCGATGCTTGCCTTTTACAGTTTGTATGTGGTGAGTTATGAGAGGGGAGCCACTGTGCTTAGAGACAGGTATGCAGCAGCTCTTCCGCTTCCCCGCTTCACACTGGCGATCCTGACTCTCCAGGAAGATAACGCTACAAAGCAGAACTAGGGGTGTCTTCTGAAAATGAGTAATCAAAACCACCGGAGAGCAGCTGGTGTCATCCCGAAACTCACCGAGAAACAGCGGCAGGGCAGAAGTGAACTTCAAAATGCAGATGTGATTTCCTGCCCTAAATTAAAGAGAAAAGTTCCCATTGCCTTACCTAACTAAATGTTAATCTATTATATTTTGCACTTAACATTTGACACATTCATGCACCAAAGTGTGGTAGCTATCTTTAAAATAAAAACAACCATTGAGCTTAAAATCAGGAATGAGTAGCACGGCATCATGGGTGCACATGGAAAGATTTTTGCCTGAGGAGGTTTGGGGAGGTTGGTTTTGGTTGGCACTGAGGAATTTTGGTCCAGTCAACACCTTGACCAGAGGAGGAGGGGGAAGGAGAAAGCCTCTTTGAAAGTCCAGTGCCATGTGCTAAGCCTTTGTGCAGACATCTCGGAATTGAGAGACACCCAAAACAGGCAGCCAGAGGTGAAGCCACCATGAGAGCAACAACTGACCTTTATTCTCATTTTGGGTCAGAAATGGCATCTAGGTTTTCCCCAAGCAGAACGGAAGCTGTGTAATCTTCTGATATCAAAGATGAGCAGACTTAGGACTTCCCCGAGTCATCGAACAATGCTACAGGGCCCCTAACCGAGGTCACTGCAACTGTGGGAAGAAAATGGAAATAGAAATTGGTTGATCATTCTAGGCCATTAAATACAGTTAAGGTTTTACGTTTCAGGTTCCAGTAGAAGTAATTTCTTCCCCTGATCCGCTTTCTATAAAATAGATTTGATTGTCCTAGCTCTCCTCGGCACTCTGAATTCCATATAAGAACTGCTAGGTGTGTAAACGTGGCCGACATTATGCCTCATTCACCCTAGCTCTCAGATACACACTCTTCACTCAGTGTCCCCTTCCCACTAAGATATATCCGTGTGCTTTCTGCCTTCCCAAGACTGTGTGACATCTACAGAGGTTTTGACTCAACATCCAGTTCTTACCATAGAGAATCTAGTTAGGGAGCCTGTCCTGTATGTGAACACCTTCCTCTGCCCCGACTGCATGGCCTTGCTGAGCAACAGCTGTAAAGGCACATTGGAGATTCCATGTTGGGTATGAAGTGAATGTAGGCCAAGGCATATTACTCTTTTTGTAATTCTCACAGAACCTCTGCCATGAACAGACACAGTTGTACGTTAACTACGCGTCCCATACTTCATCAAGTGTTTAAAAACACATCATCTCAACTTATCACCAAACAACCAACCATCTTCTATTTATGCAACCAAACTCTAGTATCCAGAGAGAATATATTATTGCGTAGGTCATAAAAAAAAAACACATACACACACCAAAACAGAAACAAAACTGGAATAGCTCCAGGATTTGGGATGCAGGTCTAACTAAATGATGCAAAACCTTTAGCTATTACTTCAGTGCCCAACTTTCCCCCTTCTTAGAGAAAGGTCTGTGCAAAAATCATTACAAGTGTGTGATTCTGACAGATGAATAACTTAATTACTGTAGCCCCCCCATCCATCCATGGATTTATTTTCCAAGTCTTTAATTATCCTTAGTCAACAATGACTCAAATGCATATTAAGTGGGGAAAAAAAACTAATATGAAACATTCCATAAATAAATAATTCATAAGTTTTAAGTTGCATGCTACTCTGGACAGCAGAATTTTCTCACTTTCCTGTCCAGAATATGAGTCTTCACTGGACCCAGGCTGTGCGCACTACCTGCTTCTTCGTTATTAACTAGCTTAGGACCAGAGCTACTATTGCAGTTTTGGCCTCGCAATTGCAGTAGCTCTTATTCTTAACAACTACCACACAGCCCAAGAAGATTGATACAAGGTAGGCCTTGATAGATGTGACAGCCCAGAGAACTTCAGTCGCTCCTGGCGTACTAGGCTGAGTGTTTGAAAACTTGGAGCAGAGGCAGAGTTTGTCATTGTCGGCAACACCAAATCTCCATTAGGGATCTTGGTAAGAGACACGTGGAAAAGGAGGAATTAGTGTGTATAGAAAGGGAACACAGTACCAAGGTAATTTGCAAAAAGGAAAAGAATAAGGAAATCTGAGTCTTGATAGCTCTGGGCAGATGTGGTCTGATAAGACAAGGAAAGCCGGAATAGTTTTAGAAGTTAACAGTAATGCCAAACACTGGACACATACCCACAAATAATGAAATTCAACAAGCAAGAAAGTCTTGAGCCAAACCTGACTGACATTTAGCATGCACATGGATCTTCACAGCATCAGTCTGGGTCCTTAACCCTGTTTTCCCTTCACTTTTGTTTCTTTCCTGCTTTAAACGTATTTGAGTATTTGTATTTTCAATGTCTTTTAAATATAATTCTTTACGTAATAAGGTAGGAAGGTAAATCAAGTAAATAACTACACTTTAGAAATCAGCGTAGGGCTTAGGTTTGTAGTTTATTCAGACATGTTTACTGAGAGGACTTCTAGGTAGTAGATTTGTACTATCCTTATGTAGAGTAGGGAGTTCACGGTTTCACATAATAACGTTCGCTAAGTAAAGGACTGTGATTGGTAAGCTGTGGGCTAGGCAAGATCAGCATCAACAATACAGGCTGGTCATAGAAGGAAAGAGGAATAATTCTCACAAAACCACGAAGATCTTAGTTTGAAAACGACTTTATCTCAAACAGCGGTGGGATTGCAAAGAACTGAGGAAGGCCTGATAGAGAAAGACATTGTTTTCTTGCTAAATTAATATCAAGACAGTGAGGACAAGCTCTCCCTTGGCTTCTTTGTTTATTTTTCTTCTGATTCTGAGCTCACCAAGTGGCACGTCTCCTTGTTGCCTTCACCAAGCACAACCCTGCTTCCTAGTGAAAGGGCTGGGAGTCGCTGACTCCTCAGGACATGCCCCAAGGATACCAACCAGCAAACCAAGCGTAATAAAAAACGCCTTTGTCTGGTGGACCCCTAGTTGGGAAGGAGAAATGAAGTAGGGGTGACTGTTGACTCGTGGGAACAGACTTAAGTCAGCAAATGAGACAGGGGCAGGAAGTGAGGAACAGGGGAAAGGGCACTTCTTATCGAATGGTCACCGGTTGCTGCTTCTTGACAGTGAGCATCATTGTCTGAGACATGCTTTCAAGGGCCACTGAAGAACCAGAGTGAAGCACTTTCTAGGAATGCAGAGAGGTTAGGTATCTGATTTGCTTTGACTGCGGGCATGTGTGTGACCAAATAAAGCAGATCCCTGAAGAGTCTTTTTCCAGATGGATATGCGGCATTTGTAGTCTATCTGAGCTTATTTGGAGAGTGAAGGCCCTTCAAAGTGATATAATCCTCGTGCATGGAGGGCTCAGTACTCAGGAACGGAGGCTCCAATTCCCAGCTACATCGACGAGCTGAACTTTCATTGCTGACTTCAACACTGAGCTTAAAAAAAAAAAAAAAGGAGAGAAAAGAGAAAGTAAGAAAAAGAAAAAATTAAAACTGCCCAAATTAATTTTTTTAGAAAAGACAGTTTGAACAAAACTATTCTCTGATCCACATTTGCCAAGCAAGGTACCTTAAATTTTCAGTCAGAAACTGCGCGTTAATTTTCTCCGAGATTAGAGGAATTCACTTCCTTGTCTTCATTTTAAAGAAGAGTTTCCTCTATGCTAAATGAGTTGTCACCCACCTGTGAAGACAGAGGGCAGATCTGTGCCTTGGAGAAGACCTGGGGAGTATAGAGAATATTTACAATTGAATGTGGGGATGTCTTTACAGTATTTAAGTCCCAACTTCTATTATAATATCTACTATCTACAAAAAAAAAATTGTTGTGAGAAATTTCTATAGGGATTTACTTTTACAAAACCTTAAATACAGCCATACGAAGGCAGAAATTTTAAAGAATTCTCCATTCTAAATCCACATCCTTTTATGTCCGCTGATGTTCACGCTCGCAAACATTTGAGCTTGAATCTTCCTGAAGTATCCCATCTAGTCGAGGACGTGAGGACAGCACGTACCTCAGTGTAGATGTGCCTGAGCAATAAATTTCCCTCAGACAATCACAGTCCTTTTCTCGTCAGCAATAGCCAGGGGCAGAAGCAGAGGGTGAGGGAGATCCATCATGAAATGTCCAGTGTCAATGTGTTCTTTCAATCTACTTCCTGACCTTCAGTTTGCGGCCACACTGCTGACCCTCATGAGTTGGAGCCTGAGGGGGAGATGGCACTGAGTACTGATTCCTAGGTCCTGTTGTTCTGTGGTCTCAATTAAGTGCTAATTAATTACCACTGGCATCTTTGGCATTGCTTGTCAAATTGCATTTAGGAGTATCTTTTCACTGTTACAACATCAGTGGCCCAAACCCTCAGCTAAAATTCCCATGTGTGAGTACAGCCTCTTTTTTTTTTCCTCGTTTGAAAATTATGCTTAAATTTTTCAAAAAATATACCTATAACCACTGCAGGAATCTTCCAAATACAACAAACAGGAGTTGGTATTGTCAGTTTTGATGAATAGTTCTTCATTAATAAACTTCCTGTTATTCCATCTCCACCTGCAGTTGCTGATGCTGCCTGGAATCAATTAACTCATATAATTTGATTTATTTTACAAAGACATTTTTTGGATGTGCTGTGTTGATGATAAAGGTTCTATTTGAGTAGTTCTTGATTGCAAGTTAGATTGTACCTGAATGGATTTCTCTTCCTGTGTGGATGTATAAACAAGTGCGTGTGTTTTGAAAGAGAATAGGAAGAAAATATTCCTTGAAGAAGTCTTGATTTTTAAAATTCATTAAGAAAACATCATGGGGGGCATTTCTCCTGAATGCTCTTGCTTTATCTGAAGACTCCTAAGGAACACAAATCCTAAAATGCTATAAATCCTCTCTCATGATCAAGTCCCTTTACTTAGCAGATTAGTGGCTCTTTTTTTAAATTACAGAACAAAGTAAAACTATGAAGCAATGAAGCCAAAACATCAGCTCGCACCACGATATAGAGGCTGACATGTGAAACTTTTTGCTTTGCTTTTCTTACATGTGATTTCTTTGGCTTCTCCAAATATTTACAAGCTACTACTCTAGGTCAGTATTCAGTTGCATTAGGTAAAATATGAAATTGTATCTAGACATATAGATAAGGCTTGGTCCAAATGACAGAAGCCCAGTTCAAACTGTTTAGGCAAAAGAGATAATCTGCTAAAGTACAGGAATGAAGATTTCACTGTTAGATAGGACTCTGGTCACCAAAGCCCAAGGGTATTGACAGAACTTGTTTTTTCATCCCTAAATGCTGCTCATCACAGGGCTAACTTTGTGTTAACTTAGAAATCTTTTTTTTTTTTTCCTGTCAGCAAATGGCAGTGCCAGGATTGTATCATGTCAACCCCACCTCCTCGGGGGCATGAAAGCTGCTCTTTTACTGTGGGAAGAGAAACTTCCAGGAATCATTCTCCTTGGCCTGGCTTGTGTCCCTTGTTTATTTCTTGTTTGTTCCTGATCCCTTCTCTATAGCAAAAGAATGCATGGCTCTCATTAGCTGGGTTTGGAAAGCAGGCCCACCCTGGGTTAGCTTCACTCAAAAGCAGACACCCGGGAATGGGGGAGAAAATAATTTCTCCCAAACGTGATCTCACTCAGAGGAAGAAAGAATAATGACTGGAGATCAAGGAGAAAAAGCTACCAGTCTACAGTTGTAAATTATTACTGTGATTTCCCCCCAAAACTCGTCTACCTTTGATGAAAATAATAGTTCAATCAATGGTAGTGAATGAAGGCTAATTGTCACTAAGGAACACTGATCTCTAATTAGAGAAAGTTGCCTATATTTTCCATTTTCTAGCAAACTGACGTTGTTTCATCAAAAAAGAGGGGGAAAGGTAATAGTTATCTAACTGTGCGTGCCTTCCCCCACGTGACAGGGAAGAACACCTGTAATGAAGCACACACTGAACTCTGCGGGACTGCAGAGTCCCCGTGGACAGCCCATAAAAATTAACGCACGGAGGCAGCAGAGTTTAATTATAGGGGATAGGCTTCATCATGATGTATTGCTAGGTTCCAGTCTCAGGAGTTTTGTTTCTTGGTTGTGAGTGTGCACCAAGTTCTCAAGCCTTCTACCCTTTCAGGTTTTTGCACAAAAATTGGTGCATTTTGAGGATGAAGTGGATAATATACACACAATGTGTTCAGCATAGCACCAAGCACAGAATGTCATTTTTTTCAAAAACTGATAGTTATTATCATAGATAGCAAATGAAAAAAAATGCAAGAAAATCACTGTACAGTGTGCCTGGCATGGGGAAGCCCTGAGGAGACGATAAGTCTACTGACAAGAGATGGAGCAAGGGACATGGGGACATATGGGTAGGAAAACGTGGACACTCCAGTAATACCAACTGTGATGGATTTAGAAAAAACAAAACAAAACAAAAAACCTTTGCGAGTTCAGCCATACCCAGCCCCTTCGTCAGAGAGAAAATCCTTGGTAATTTTAGATAAAACGAGATTTATCTTCTCTCCAAAGAAAGTGTTCCTGGAGCAGCTCTATTCCTTGTTACTCTCATATTTCATCAGCTTACATAATAGCTAATTAAATTACATAATTATAATAATAAGAACAACTGGCATAAACTTGTTTGGGACTCTCTCCTGGGACTTTCCTCTAGTGGGAACAGATGTGCACAGTTGAGAGCCATTAGCTAGCTGGGAACATCGAGTGTGGTGTGGGCACTGGTCAGTTGTTTTACGGGGGGAAAACAGAGCTCCTGATAAGTGGAATCAGACAAGAGGGCCTCTGCCACCTGTCGGGAGTCTTCTGCACTCTGCTGTACCTGAATTCCCCTCACTCTTGATATTTGACTGCAAATTTGGCCTCTTGCTTAGATTTCTTAAACAGCAATCCATAACTGATATGCTCAACACTCCATAACGAGAATTTCAAGCATGGCTTCCCGAATCAGCGTTGTTACCATGTAGTCACCACTGTGCAGCTACTTAGAAGGAAAATGGGAGACTAAGGAAGATGCCTACTTGGTACTGTCCTAAATCCAGTAGTCTTCGACGGTAGGCCATATATTCATTTCTAAGAAGGATGCAAGAGAAGCGTGTTTCTCAGTTTCCAAGACTCTCCGAATTGGATAGAATCTAAAAGGACATTTGGAGTGTTTGCTTAGCAACACCTGGTCTTCTGACTGGATAATTGCATGAAGGGAGTGATTGTTTCCATCTTTGGGGAGATCTCCTGATCATTGTTTTTTTTTTTTGCAATTTATATATTTATTATATTACAGTTTTCAGAATTGGAATGCTGAAAAAAATACTATTGACAACATGTATATTCTGGACTCGGTGTTTTGGGAAATTGGTGACTCTGTTGTTTGGGGTGCTGCAGTGCCTGTCACCAGCTAAATCTAAAGTTCTCACCAGTGAGTGTGCGCTGTTCTTGAGAAGGATATTGTATCTAACTTACTGTTTGCCATGGGAAGCCAAATTTTCATGATTATAATACTTTAAAGCTGACTTTCAGTGAGAAAAGAGATTTATGAGTAAACTCATCATTTTGCTCTGTTTTTATTCCTTTCTTTCTTAGCTCATGATCGAATTAGTTGTCTAGTGCGAATCATATGCTCTGCCTTGTAAATAACTTAAATGTAATAGTGTTCTGATTTTCTTCATATCTTTATTGATATGTCTTTGTTTATTCTTAGACAATTTCAGATAAGGTATTTTTATATAATGTATTTTCTCCACATTCACCCCCATTATCCTCTTTTATTCCCCCCTCACTACCACAGAATGAACCCCTTCTATTCAACAACATTCTCAATCCAAAGTGCCAATAGACTGGCTAGGCCCATTCTTTGGTTCAAATCCATTCACCCATCCTCCAAAAAATCTAAAACAAAATGTGACCAGGTCTACTCATTGGGAGTCAGAGCAATGTGTTGTCAAGTAATCCTGAAGAATATTGAGTAGCTGCCATCTGAAAGGAAGTAAGAAGAATAATAGCGTGCTGTATTAAGGGACTGAGATTTTACCTTGTAAATGAGTATATTTTTGAGCATAGATTGATCCACATGAATTTACCTGGAAGTATACTGTCCTGGAAGGCTCTGTGGCCTATGCTTGGGGATGGGCAACAAGAGCAGCTTAAGTATACTTGAAAGGGCAGGAAAACGTCATTTATCACTTTGAAAAAGGAACTAGCAAAACTTCAGTAGGAGAGCCAGGCTCCCCAGCAGTCCAAATGGGGTCCTGGACTAGAATCTAATCCTGAAGGGGAAAGGAAAGGAAGAAGTCCAGCAGAAGCTCCAGCTGTGAAAACTTACATAAGTGGCTTACTCTTGCTTCATCTTGGGACCAAAGGCCCAACAGAATCCCCGAGCATCCCTGAGGAAGAAAGCTATAGCACCAAGAACCCTGGGCAATGCCTTCTGTCCTGCCACACTGTCATTCCCTTAAAAATAGAATAAAATTTGTTCAGCCCTTCCACCCTTTCAAAACTATGCATTTGGCATCTCTGACGTCATCATGAAGGGTGGACACTTCCTGCAGCCATTCCTGATGCTGGTGAGCTCTCCACTTACCCATGCCTTCCTGCACGAGGGTCCTTATCTTGACAGTTCCTCTGTCTTGTTTTCCAGCATTTCATTCCCGGCCAAAGAACAGGCAGAATTTTACCAAAGCTTCACCAGGGATGGGAAGCCTACCCAGAATCTAATCCAGCAGATAATTTCCACTGTGGAGAAGTGGAGAGGCACAGTGGGCTTCCCGGGTGCTGAGAGCCACCTTTCCTCCTGCCTCCTCCTCTAAGAATTCCTATAGATTTTCTAATTGGCCTCTGCTGTCACCATGCCGCTCAGCCACATTCTCCACTCTGTGTGCACAGCCATCAGAAGTCCATTTTTCTGCCTTACATAGAAAATGTGGTTCTCGTTTTTCTCGCTGTGTCCTAAGGATTATCTTTTCACAACCAACATGCCCATCAAAATGTTTTGCTAAGCAAGAAAGAAAAGCAGATGATTTTCTCGCTTAAGTGGAATCTGGCTGCCAGCTATTAAAATAACATTTCCTTATTATACTTGAATCTATAACTTGAGCATAATTGTACATCAGATTGATAGACCCAAATTGATCTACACATAGTCTGTTGGGCTATCCCTGTCTGTGTGGATCCATCTGAGCACCACAGTTTGACCGTGCTTAGGAAACACGGACTTGTCAAGATCTACCTCCTGACAGCCCGTGGCAGGTTAAGATAGAATCTTACCAGAGAGGCAATTCCCTTGAGCCATTATATGCAAAATATTTCCTCAATTGAAAAACTCAACTGAAGGATTTCACTGGGAACTGGGGTCCTGAAACTGCAGAGTGCAGAGGGGTGGAAGACTGTGCAATAAGAAGCAATGTTCTCAGCAGGCTGTTGATATCATTTCAGAAAGTTACGTCTTGAAACAGTGTTGCGGTGATAACAAGCATAATGTCAAATATCTGCCAGGTCTGTCTATTGATCTAGTCCCAAGTAACACTGGGCACTTTATGTCTTATTACAGGATAAATGTGGCCCCAGACTGTCAGTAGCACAGAGCTCTTTAATGTTGCAAAAGGAAACCATCTCAGGAAATACTAAGTACAAAATTCACTCTGCTTTCTCTTCGAGTATTTTTGTATTTGAACACTGTCTTTAACTGCTTGTTGCACCTCCAATACTGAAATAATCCTCATTTATTCATTAAATTTAAAGTTGTAAATAATTTCATTTAAGAAAGAAAACCAAGCAAAGATTTAGCAACTACAATTAACCTACAGTGTTATTGTGATATGTTTCAGCATCCTGTCAGTCATCCCCTGCTCCACATTGGTCCCACACCGAATCACTAAACCAAATGATGACAAAAATATAAAAGGACCAAAGCAACTCACTGGCCTTGACCAGGGCTGGGCCTGGACAAACATGGGGAAACTGCCCCAGGCCATTAATGAACACATGGGCCCTGGCAAGAGCATTAGTGGACATTATCTATAAGGTCTATTAGATAGCCTTTGTTGATAGAAAACAAAATAAAACCGATCTAAAGAAAATATTTTCAAGTGTCTTATGGAGCATGCTCAGAAAGAGCATTTTGACATCTTTTATTTTTTAAAATGTTCAGCCATTTTCTTCAAAAATTTGGCTTGCTCTTTCCTACTTTGTGATATGCCAACTTTGATGTTTTAGCTTCAGCTGTTTGAGAACTACATGTGATCCCCCAGAAAGGTTGGATTTTTTTTTTCTGGGTGAAGAAGGAAGCATATGTTTTAACCCTCATGTGCCTTTTTTGAAAAGGATGAATTAACATCCTATAGTATTTTATCACTAGACTTAAAATACAGAATCTAGATCAAAAGTTGGGGGGACTTTTTTTTTTTTTTTTTAGAAATAAAATAGAGATGCAGGCCTTAGGGACCGACGCTACAAATTTTTAATCTATCTCATTAAATACAGAGCCTTACACGTCTACTGCTATTCTTTTAAAGAGGACAGCTGAAAGGAGGCAGTTTGGATACATGAGTGAGGAGGGCCACACACAAACCAAATTTCAAAACATCAAAGGACATAAACTAATGTGTAGAAACGCCGAGGCATCTTGAAAAGATTTCTCTCTAACCAGATATATGACACTAAAAAATGGGAAGTAAAAATGAATTTAGCATGCTCTGAGAGGCAGGAGAAGAGGAGTGTGGCTGCATGGCACTAAACCCCCTGAACAAGAAAGTGTGGAGGAAAAGTCTATCCAGGCGGCCTCTGAAAGCCACACCTCAGTTCCTCCCTATCACTGATGTTGTCACTGGACCGTCCGAGTCATTGAACACCTAGGAAGTAACAAAAGGAAGGCAATCAGGATGTCGTGACTCATGTATGAAATGCCCCCTGTGTGTTGAATGCTCGCTTTCCATCAGAAGCTCAAGGAGTAAAAGAGGAAGCCTTGGGAGCTGGAGCCCAGCTTCATTGTGGGGAGGCATACCTCAGTGTTATACCTGGCTTTTCCCTGGTGTGTTTTCCTCATCTCCCCACCTCCTGCTTACCCCTTCACCCATAGGCTCCCACTGTGATGTTCTCCCAGAGTACATGGAACCAAATGACCAGGGGCTGAACCCTCTGAAATCATGAATCAGAATTAGCCTCTCTTTCATTAATTTGCTCTGTCATGTCCTTTGGCTATAGCCACATCACAGCCGATAATACACAGGAGAATTGGGGCAAATGCAATCGTTACTGTACTTGTGCCTGCCTACTGTGAAAAGAGAGACTAAACAGAGCTAGCCGTGCAAGAGCAGCGTGTCTCATGTGGCCCTAGCGAAGCTATTCATGTAAATCTGATCTGGGAGGTGGCTGCTGACTTCAAGAGGGAGCTTGTCCTCTTACAGTGAGTGGAAACATTGGCCAATATCCTCCTTCCAGATCCCGCGTGGGGTGTTTTTGCGGATGATTATATACAGGCAAGTCCAGCAGTCCAATAATCGCGAGTTCAGTTTCTCCAAGTTATAACTCCCACTGTACTTTGGTATGTAGTCAAAATTCTGGAAGAACACAAAAGGAAAGAATTGGTTAAGAAATGACAAATGTCTCGCTCTCTCCTAACGACAGAGGAACGATTGGCAGAAAACTCAAAACCAGAATGCAAGAAAGGTTTCAAAGGAAATTGAGTCTCTGTTTACAAAAAGGTTCCAGTTCTGGGAGGACTGTCCAACTCAACCAGTTGCTGCAGAGAAACATGATTAAAGTGATGACTGAGGTGTTTGGTGGCCGAGCCTCAGTTTCCTTTATTCCCTTCTGACTCCGTTGACAGCCAATCAGAAGGCAACCTGGCCTGGAGGCTTGTCAGTGATAATAATTGAAAACATCTGTCTGTGGAGCAAGTGTGGGAAGCCCATGCCGGTCCCTGACAGAGGGAGCTCTGAGGCAGCAGAGCCATAACCGCGACCATACTCATATTCTCCTTAACAGACGTTTTTCGCTGCCAGCTGTCTTTATTCTCCTGCCAGGAAAGCAAGGGGCCCGGGGCTCTGAACCCAGGCAGGGGTTAAGTGAGCTGAGACTGGGGAAAGGGACGGGACAGGCTACCTCCCAGCTCGGGGTACAGAGACGAGGGGTATCTGGTTAGAGACTAAAAGACAAACAGGGAGAGAAGAGCCAAAGAGACTGCAAGTAGGCTTGGAGCAGGAGCAACAGTAGAAAAATTGGGGTTCTAGACCAGGGTGAGCTGATGCTCTGTCCCAAGCCTGGACAGAGATTTTAGAGTGGTTTTGAATGTATCAAGAGGATATTTAAAGTGTGCATAGGCGTTCTTTCAGTTACTAGAGAAGAGAATTTCAGACTGCAGACTAAAGAAAAGCTCTACCAACCCAAGTGGGAGCCTAGAGAAGAAAGACAGTTAAGTTCTCAGTAGAAAAGTTTAGGCGTTTTCTTGCCTATAGTAGGAGATAATTTAAGGCATAAAAAATGCTTTTTGAGAATACAATGAGCCAAAAGATTGGGGGGAGGTAAAAACAAAATTATGAATTATGTTTTGAAATATTGACTTATCCTGGTCATCTTATTGTTTAACGTCTTCTCTCCATGAATCAATCAGTCCTGGATGCTATACTAACAGTTGTGTCATGGTTGTTCCCAGAGCTACCTCACAGTTGCTTGATGTATGATGTTCACTTGAACAGAAAGAATAAATCCAGCTTGCAACGAAGCAGAACTTGCCAGTAGGATGGGGCTTGGGTCCTGAGAAAATCTTGCTCAGCGCATGGGTGGCGAGAAATAATACAAAGGGAGAGACTTGGGGAGGCCACTCTGTCTCATTAGTTAGGAACAGTTCTGTATTGTATATGTAGCCAACATAAACACTTGGCTGAGGATGTTATTCTACTGACAGTGTTCGCCTTTCCTTATGGTCATCAGCTGGGTGACTACCGCTCCTTGGCTGAGACACACTCATCCATAAAGAAAAGTTCCATAAGTAATAATGAGCGTGAGTTTGTGTTCACTGCATAGCAAGGATTCATATTCAACAGGAATTTTTCTTATCCAACTGAAATGAATCAAGCTGTTTAACCTAATTGAGCTGCTATAAATCAGGCGTGTTGTGATATTAGTAATCCTCTCACATTGGGCCCTGGAGTGAGGCTCCACACAAGACGCAGGAGTGTAAGCGCAAAATAGGGATTCCATCTCCTTTCTTATACTCTTACCAGTTTTACACATCTGTCCTCACTTTGGAATCATAGCAGATCCCTGTGTGTATGCAGCGTGCATGTGTGTGAATGAGTGTGTGTGTGTGTGTGTGTGTGTGTGTGTGCCTGTGTGTGTCTGTACCATAGCACACATATAGAAGTTAGAGGAGAATCTTGGATGTCAGTCCTTGCTTTCTGCCATGGTTTAAGGAAGAATCTGATACTCAGCACGGGACACGCCAGACTAGCTGGCCGAAGACTTTCTGCTGATTCTTCTGTCTCAGTCTCCCATGTCACCTAGGCTCACTGGGTTTCAGACACAGGATACCACATCAACTTTATGTGGTTCTGGAGAGGCAAGCTCTGAAGTTCATGTTGCATGGTAAGGACTTTATCCACTAAGCCATTTCTCCAGCCCTAGAACATCATTTTAACTATCGAGAGACCATTTTCCCTTTCAACAGTGTGCTCTTCTGTATGCATGGATAGCCAGAAAGAGGCTTGGTTAACAAGTGACCAAACAGTTGGGACGAATGTCCATCTACTGGGAACTGGACTTTAAAATAACATTTGAAAGACTGCAAAGTTGCCTTATGAAAAGAAAGCAGGTGCTTACCTGAAAGGATCCGTGAGATATATCGTTTGTGTAAATACTCTAAAATTCTCTTTCAAATATCAATGTAGAAAAATTGCTTCTAATATTCCTTAAATATACTTTGAGGAATGCCTAAATATTCTCCTACTTTGATGCCTCTATCTGCCGATAATTTTTCCTCCTTTTTAGAAGGTTAATGGTATTACCACGATTCAACACCCACCCACCCCACTGGCCCCAGTATCTTGCCTTTTAAGATCCCAAATTCCTGACCATCTGGGAGATATGACACCACTCATTGTTTCTGTAGATATATTGTGTTTCCTTTTGAAATTGCTTTTGCAATGGCCACCATTTTCCAGTTCCAAGCCCATATAGACATTACTGGTTGATCATACATTCCTTCCACTCAGTGGCTTCAACCACCAAGTCCTTACCCAGGGAACAAGCAGTTGTCCTGAGGCAGATGATGCTCACTTGTGGATCAGGCCCTGCCAGAGCAGGTCAGTTCCTCCAAAGTCACCATTCATTCCCAAGCACTCTTAAAAAAAAAAAAAAAAAACTGTTTCTAAGACAAAAGGAGGCGCCTGGCTGATATTCTCTTTAAATCCATAGAGTCTGCCTTTCTGTTTCATTCTTCGTTTTAATAAACAGACGCATATCTTACTCCATATAGTGACTTATGCATAAACAAGCATTTAAATTGCTGACATATATGCAAGACACTATTACAAAACCTCACGTTCCAGATTCAATCTATTCTGTAATTGGCGATAATGCCTTGGGTGTATTTCTAAGCGCATCAGGACTTCCTTAAGTCAGGATCAAAAAACAGTGCTTAGATGTGTTGGGAAATCAAATCTCCAGCCCAAAGAAATAAGTAAGAACATTTCTAGACCAGCTAACTTATGTTGCAAATGGGGAAACTGAGGCTGAGGAAGGCTAACTGAGCTTCCGTCGTCATTCAGGTAGAAACATGCAGACAGAAGAAGAAAACCAAGTTTCTTGTGTTCTGGTGAGGCAGGTCTCCCACTTCCGCAGCGTGCACTCATGAGGGTAGCCTTGGTGCATTCCCCAGTTTCTCCCATTTCTGGGTTAGCTGCTCTCAGGAATCACCACTTAATCCCATAGGTCTGAAATGGGTAATTTAATACTCTTTCCTGTGCATCCTATTTGATTTATAAGCACTCACCTTCTTAACCTAGACAGTTCTCTTTTGCTTTATTTGAACACTTTCGATAAGCAACCACGGCTTTTGGAAACAAACCTATATTCTATGCTTGACACTTTAGCCGAAAGAAATTTTACACCATCTCACAAAAATGTTGAGAAGAAAGCATATTTTACATGTACCAAGCTCTCCTTTCCCTCAAAAAGTTTTCCTTAATGTTACCCTCTATTGCTGCATACCCAAAATATGTGCTCTAGTTTTCCACTGTAATTTGCTTTTGGAAAGAGTGAAAAAGAGACAAAAGAGGCAGGTGAAAAGTGCTGCCAAGACCCAAACAGCTCACCTCACTGAACTTGCCTCTCTCATCTAGACTTAAGAGAAAACCTAAAAGGAGTATTTGTGGCTGGCTTTGTTATTCTACAGAGAAAACCCAAAAGGAGTACTGTGGCTGGCTTTGTTATTCTACATCCAGAAAAATATTTGGTTCAGTCCAATTCCTGGCTAGGACAGCAAAAGCAGCACACAGCTAAAGCAAAAGCTGGACCACCACACACAAAGCAAACACTATAGCAACAGAAAGGTACGGAATGCCCCAGCTTTTTCCTGCACCCGACGTAGGGGTGAAGAAGAAGGTAATACACCGCCTAAACGAGCTCACTGAGAAAGATAAAACGTGCGCATGGAAGAGAGATAAAACTCAAACATGTCAACGACAATGTAATACAGTCTGGATGTTTAAGTGCCAAGAAAGCAAATAACAAAACATTCAGAATGTGATGTCTGAATACGTCCTAACAGAGGCATGCTTAACTATGCTTTGGCGTATGGGGCAGAGCATAGATGCTCCCATTGAAGCAGCAATGATGTAGGGTAAAACAACTCAAGTGGATGTAATGTAAAATTAGTTGAGCAGGCCAGCAATCGCTGACCCCCGATGGAAGCAATCCTGCTTCAAGACCACCTTTTTCTTTTCTTTTTTTTTTTGTAAATAATGCAGTTTATTTTTCTGAATGTATTTAGTTTTGCAAAGAAATTGAGCCTTTGGTTCAGGGTGTCCGCATATACTTCCTCCATTCTTCTGAGTCCACACAGTGACAAAGTTTCTTCTGTCAGGGCCATCCTATTGTGGGTTGATGAGCCCATATTGAAACATTGCCAACTAAAGTCCATAGTTCCCATGAGAATTTACTCTTTGTTTTCTGCCTTCCGTGGACTTTAGCAAATGGATAGTGGCGTACAAGCATCACTGTAGGGTCGTACCAAATAGTTTCACATCCCTAAAGGTATCCCAATTTCCCACCTGTTCTTCCCTCCCTTCACTGAAATTCCAGTGAATTTCTTTTCTTGCTCCAGAATTTCGAATTTTGCAGATTGTCTGTGTTCTGGTTGGCTTTTTCTCAGATTAACACTACCAGAGTAATACGAGAAAATACTTCATCCGACTGCCCTATAGG